TAGCTAGGTATTTAATGCGTTCTAGGTATTCCAAAGGAAAACAGTCTGTGGATGAATGTTTGAAATCCTTTTCTAGAGAAAACTGTCATGTTCTGCTTGGAGCAAGTATCTTAGATTGTATTCTGCAAGAGCTACAACACATGTTCCCTTCTTCTGATACGCAGGAATCCCTCCTTCTGGGACAAATATTGTCTCCATTTTGAAGAAAGAGACAGAGTTCTGGGCAGTAGAGAAGACCACCGAACTAGCAGAACACCCAGGTAGGTGGGAATGTCCGAAGATGTCAACATAGGTGCCCTCGTTTCTCAGAGCTGCTAGAGCAGACGCCCAGCATGCAGGTGAGGCTTTCTGTTGGCTCTAAGTGAAGGTCATTGTCTCTCTTCAGCTTCTGCTCCTCAGATTCTTGGTGGTCTTCATACAGCATATGGCTTTGTTCTGGGCCTGAAAACGTGATTGACTTGAGACACACTGACCACTGTCTCATGAACATAACAAAGACATCTTTATTCCACCATGGGATTAGGTAAAATGTCAGCTGGTTAAAGAAGTCACACTAACACATACATGTATTTTGGGAAAACTCTCCCACACATTTATTTGCTGTGAGCAATCGAAGGAAGAATGTCTCCCCTGTTCTCTTCTGCTCTCCACACACGGCACTCTTCACATGTGTAAAGCATGTCCTTAGCAGTGCTGCAGCTCCAGCAGACATGCTGTTGTCTGGTCACTGTGACGTCTTTGGTACCATGATTTTGATAGGAACAAGGAAGGCTGTTTGAAAGGGCTGTTTGTGCCTCCTTGGTTTTTCCTTCTATAAATGACCTCATAGACCTCATAGCTGAGGCCTCCTTTGGAAGCATCTGTCCAGATTCGATGCTCATTGAAGACCTTCCTTTGCATGAGATAGCAAAGCATTACTGCCTTTTCCATTGCAGATGATGCCCCAGGAAATGTTATAGGACTTTCTCTAGACCTCTGAGTGTTCAGGCCCCTCTGGGATTTCTAGACTCCTGCTTCTCTATACTTCAGGATTCTGTATAATAGGAGAGGGGGTGTCGAACTTCTGAGTTTCTTTAGTCAGCAGTACTCTAAAGATACGGGACAAAAGATCCACTTTTTGTTTTTTAACCCTAGGCCTTCATGGAAACCTTTTCCTTCACGTTCTCAGTTTAAGTTGATGGGTAGAACAAATAGCACCTTCTCAGGGCCCCCATCCAATCCAGTGTCCTTCCTAGTTTACTTCCATGTCTTGTGTTTGCCTCCTGTTTGCGTGCTCTATATCGACAAGCGTAGTCGTTACGAACCAGGCTGCTAACCTCAAGGTCAGCAGCCCGAAACTACCAACTGTTCCACAGGAGAAAGTTGAGACTCTCTGTTCCTGTAAAGATTTACAACCTCGGAAACCCTGTAACAGGGTCGCTATGAGTCAGAACCGACTCCACTGCACATCACCACCATCACTAGTAATAGACTAGTGGTGTTGAAAATCTTGGCTTTTCTTGGATTTGTGTTCTTCTAAGTTTATAATTTTTCCTGAAACTGAGTATTGCATCTTGAAGTTTCTAAAGAGTGAAACATGCCTTCCTCTTTCTGCTGGGACAGCGTACCCTTGAGTAACAGACAAGTTGAGTTGGACTTCCCTCAGGAGGAAGATTGCCCTGGGTCACAGAAAATTCCTAAATTTTTATTAGTACATGTCATATGAGGAGGCTTCAAAAAGTTTGTGGGAAAATTCCATTACCTATCAATTCCATTTTTCCACAAACTTTTTGAAGTCCCCGCGTATTAGACTGGTAAATACAGAAGTACTTCCTTAAATGAATGAGTCATGTGATCAGCATGTCTCAGGATTCCGATACAGAAAGTGTTACAAGAGAACAAAATGGCTTCTAAGTATGTGCTCCAGTGTCAAGCCCAGTCTTCGTGCAGGAAGAAGGTGAAACTCAGAACCAGCATAAAGCCAATTCCCATGATGTGGAGGTCAGGTATACCTCCACTCTGACTTGCTCACTATTTCTCCCACTCTGCTTCTCTGCTGGGTTTGACAGTTCATTGCTGTGGCCATAGAGAACTCAGACAATACTCATTTGTTGGTGAAGTGACTTGTTACAACTTGGGATATGGATCAACTTGGAAGTCACGTGAACAACTCGAAAGGCCGGGATACAGTTCATCAACTAGGAGAGCTCTCTCAGCTGCTCTAGGCCATACACAAGCAGGCTGCTCTTCTCTGAGGCACGTCATGTGATGTCCTGTTCTTGGCCGTACTATTTCATAGCCTTCCTGGGACTCTGCTCTGATTGGACAAGTGTTACCGTTCTTTAGTTTTGCTGGCAAACCTTCAGCTTCCAAATACTCAGCTCTCCTTAACCATGGGACAGCAAGCCCACCACAGAGACCTCCCACCAGTCTTCTGGTTCCTTCATCTGCCTTACCCTGTCTCGTGCCGCCTTTACTTCACTTAAAGCTCTTGACCCATAATACAGTTCTTCTGGATGTCCTCTCTCCCATTGCCTCTCTCTGATTCTCTGTGGTTTTCAGCACAGGGACCCTCTGTCCAAAGGATGCATTCTGCTCTGAACTCTTCTTGATGATAGTAGGACCCCTTCACCCTCTGTGGCATTGGGCTTTCTATTCCTTCTCAAGGCGTGGTCCTCCCAGCCAGATCAGGAATTGAGCAACCTCACTGGTAGACCTGCAGCGACTCAGCTTGTTTGGTGATGCACGATTGTGACCTAACCAATCATTTTCTGACCAAATTCTAAACAACCCATTTATGTGGCTACAAAAGCCTCCATTATACTTCAAGAGGGCTCTAGAGTTTGTAGAATGGCACAGTGCCCCCTCACGTGCAGTGTGGCAGCATGGATCACGTACACCCACTCCTCACTTACTAACATATTAAGATGTAATAACATTTACATAACCGCCAGCTGAACCACTGAGAACCATGGCCCAGTCCAGTGGATACGTAAACCCTAACCGTCACAGCCAGCGTTGCTCTTGCCTCCCACCTCAGCATTCATTACTGCTAGAGGAATATCATTAATGTGCAAAATCTGTAGATTTTTTACTATTGTCATAAATGCAAAATGTCAACGAGGTCATTAATAAGCGAGACATCAGTACATATTAGGGAGTGTGGTGGCTCTGTGAACAGCAGCTTCAGAATCCCTACACGGTTGTTCAGAGTTGGAACCAACTTGACCGCACTTAGCAACAACAAGGTGTACAGTGCTGAGTCTCACCTTTTAATTTTTATTCATTGGGCACGTGAATAAAAATCCACCTCAAGCTGCTTCCCAAAATATGGAAATAACCTACATCTCCACTGTCCCACTCCTCAGCTGTTTGTCACCCCATCCTGTCTCAGATGCTAACCACCCAAAACCAGTTCAGAGCTTGGAACTAAAATAACACTGTCCTTCCAGTTTCCCAGGTCTATAGACACGAGTCAAGGAGCTCTGGTAGCATAGTGGTTACGAATCGGGCTGCGAACCTTAAGGTCAGCGGTTCGAAACTACCAGCCGCTCCACGGGAGAAAGATGAGGCTTTCTACTCCCGTAAAGATTTACACCCTCGGAAACCCTGTACAGGGTCGCTATGGATCAGACCCGACTCGATGGCACTTAACAACAACAACAACATAGACACGAGTCAGAATTCATTTCTTCAGGTAAATGCTGGTCTGTGCTGGCTCAGTGTTCCTGTCATTCCCTAGAATGACTCAGAACCCACAGTAAGAAGTAACTTACAGTAATAAATTTGATATGACCACAAAAGGATGTATACACTAAGAAAGTCAGAGGTTTTGCTTTAGGGAAGGTCCACACACCAAACTTCCAATGTTTATTAGGCACGTACAACACTGTGATCAATCCAGGAAACGCAAGAATTTCTTTGTTCCTGGGCTCTTGCTCATTGCACCTCATTACATATTCATGATTGGTACCTCCTTTATTGAATCAATAAATAGAGATGATTACTTGCATCATGCCCCTCAACCTACCAGAAATTATTTGCCAGGTGTGGTCTTTGGGGCTCCCAGTGTATTTGCACATGTTTAGCTGTTGCCTGGCTATTTTAGAAAATGAAATCACCTTTGTGGCTGGAGAAAATTCCTAGGACTTTTGTCCGGACCCAGAGACAAAAGGCCAAATCTAGTTGTTTGTCTCACACTAGGGTAGGAGTTTCTCATGAGGAGTTCATTGTCCATGTGCACAACCTCAGATCTTTGAGCCTTTTGACCAAAGTATTTTGTGCCATTGTTCATTTTTCTTCAACAAATACTCTTTTGCTACATCGTATTGAAAGGAATTACAATGTTGAACAAGGCTACATTTTTCAGTTCTACTGCATTTTATTTATTTATTTATTTTTACCTATTGAAGTGATTGCTACATTCATTTTATACTTTTTCATGTATTATAATGCAGTTGCTTTTTTACTTATTCTGTGTATATGAATCGATATAACTCTAATTCCTAAAATGTGACTATTAATCACATTCCCAGTTGTCTAATAATTCCTTACCCTCTGACACCGTCCACCCACAAGGCACTCCCTCTTTCTGCCCCCTAGCCACCTGGAGCTAGTTCATAGCTCACAAATTAAAGGGACACCTTCCTTCAGAGTGCCAAATGAACGCATGATCACCTACCACAGGCTTTGGAGTCCACACAACACTCGACTTACACCTACCTGCTGGGCACAAAGTTTGCATGCCATCCTCACTAAGGTCCATTCTGGCCACATTTCCTCCATGTTGGAGTCATTCTTTTGGTAGTCTGGTATGTTCAGTGTTGCATGCACAGCATGATTCAAACATGTCAATTCTTTTTCCACCTTGCCTTGTCAGAGTCCAACGTTCCTATGCATATGAGGTCATTAAAAAGATCTTGGCCTTGTCAGGTGCACCTTAATCGTCAAAATGATGTTTGCTTTAACACTTGATACAGCTTTTCCCAATGCACTATGTCTTTTGGTTTCTTGACTTCTGCTTCCTTGGGCATTGGTTGTTGATCCAACTAGACTGGAATTCCTGACAACATCAGTATCCTGGTCATTTAGTATATTTTTTATTGGTCCAGTTGTGAAGACTTTTTTGGAATGTTCGTGAGTAATCCATGTTGAGTCCCATGTATGATGTGATTATTGTATGGAAGAATGGTGTCGGGCAGTATATGGCCTGTATATGGCCTCCTCTAACTTCATAAGGAAAGTGAAGGATCGAGACGAACAGTCCACGGCTTGATTCCTGTAAGGTTGTACTTTGACTCCTATGCAGTGGTTTGATATTTTTAACTTCAACTTGAACTTGCATTTTACAGTCTGTTTCACAGACGGTACATGACTTGATTCTGATTGATAATGCTGAGAGCTTTCATCATGTTAAGGAGTGCTGGTACTGCACTGTGTTAAGCATTAAACTGTAAGTGCGAGGTCAGCAGTTCAAATCCTATGAATTTTGTATTCTTGAACATTGGAAGACCATAGTGGAGAAGTTTTAAACTTCTCTTTGTTATAAGAATTCGTGCTAGTGTAAATTTATGCTTTGGGATATAAAATATTTTCTGTTATTAATAGGAAACTTATATTCTTTGTATGTTTTAGACATCTTTTCTACACGTATGATCGAGGAATTATCAGCAAAAGAGATGATTGATAAAGGAGAATTATTCCAGAGAGTGCTGTTGGGAAGAAATGAAAGTCACAGCATCGAGGATTTTCACATTGTGCAAGTTATGGAAAATTTGCAAGGCCCTGAGAGTCAGTGGGGAGAAGATAAAAGAATTAACAGTAGACTACCTATGACCCATAACAAAATTTTCACTGATAGAAGAGAGCGACATATGAAAAGAGATGCAGGAAACAAGTATATGACTTATTTTCAAGATACGGTTGGATTAAGCTTTCAGTCCCATGTGGATGAAAAAGTGGAGACATCTGTCAGCAGTGGGCCTTTGGTTCCATCTCTTCAAAGAATTCCTTCTAGTATCCAAACCAACATTTCTAATGAGTATGGGGAAGTTTTCATGCATCCTTCATTATTTATGTCACACCAGAAAAGTCACAGCAGAGAGAAGCCTTACAAATGTAATGAATGTGGTAAAACCTTTAACTGGAGCTCAAACCTCACTAAACATCAGAGAATCCATACTGGAGAGAAACCATACAAATGTAGTATGTGTGGCAAGGTCTTTACTCAGCGTTCAAGCCTTAAAAGTCACTACACAATTCACAGTAGAGAGAAACCCTACCAATGTATTGAATGTGGTAAGGCTTTCTCTGGACGGTCAACACTTGTGGAACATCAGCGAACTCATAGTGGCGAGAAACCCTATGAATGTAATGAATGTGGTAAGGCTTTTACACGAAAATCAGGTCTTTTGAAACATCAGCAAATTCACAGTGGAGAGAAACTTTACAAATGTACTGAATGTGGTAGAGCTTTTAGCACTCCATCAAACCTCTGGAATCACAAAAAAATTCATACCGGAGAGCAAAAGTACAGATGTAACGAATGTGGAAAAGCCTTTAAGTGGGGCTCAAATCTCACTAGACATCAGAGAATCCATATTATAGGAAAGCCATATACCTGTGATATGTGTGACAAGGGCTTCAGTCACCCTGCAAGCCTTAGAACTCATCAGAGGTGTCATACTGGAGAGAGACCTTTCAAATGCGCTGAATGTGGTAAGGCTTTTACCCAGAAATCAGGGCTCGTGGAGCATCAGCGAATTCACAGCAGAGAGAAGCCTTACAAGTGCAGTGAATGTGGTAAGACTTTCAGCAGTCGATCAGTCTTCCGGAAACATAAGATCATCCATACTGGAGAGAGTCCTTACAAATGCATCGAATGTGGTAAGGCTTTTTCCGAAAGATTAAAACTTGTGGAACATCAGCGAATTCACAGTGGAGAGAAACCTTACAAATGTAGTGAATGTGGTAAGGCATTTACTCGGAAATCAGGTCTTTTGGAGCATCAACAGATTCACAGTGGAGAGAAACCCTACAAATGTACAGAATGTGGTAAGGCTTTTGCCCGAAAATCAGGTCTTTTGAAACATCAGCGAATTCATACTGGAGAGAAACCTCACAAAAGTAACAAACGTGGCAGGACGTTTTATAATCCATCAATCCTTTGGGAACATAATCAGATTTATACTGGAGATTTCAGTCAAGCAATAGGTCTATAAAGTGAATAATAACACTAGGGGGAGATGTACTATTCAATCAACCGTATAAGACCAGCATTTTCCCAAAATCAAAGCCCAGAAAGTAGGAAAGGGTAAGAAAGAAGGGTGAATGAAGATGGGAACCCCCCAAAAAAAGAAAGCTTTTGCCTTGAGAAGATTGCAGTCAATGTCATGGAACAAAAAGTGTATTAATCGAACACTCAAAAATTTAATTTGCTCAGTAAAATTTCACCCAAACGACAATTAAAAAAAAAAAAGTTTTTGTTTTTTCAATGCAGTAAACGCCAAACAGCCATAACTAGGCAATTACCTTACGCTGTGTTTGCTAGTGAAACAAAACCAAGGAAGACAGGTTTATATTGAGGAACTGACGCCATTATAGAAGTGAATAAATTCCAAGTCCAAGGTGCAAGAGCTGAGGAACCCAAGGTTGGCAGGTAAGATGACAGGTAATACAGCAGGTCACTGGCTTGAGTCCAAAGAACCAGAGGTTGGGTGACAGGTCAGATAATCGGATCCAGGCTCAGCAAAAAGTATACAAGCTTTGCCCAATTGTCCAGTATACTGGAAGCAGGCCACACCCCAGAGGAAAATGCCTTTCCTCTAATTGGCTGCTCATAGCAGCTGTCATCATGCATTGGTTACCACATCTTAACTGCCAAACCAGACAATTCAGGCCCAGTCCTTTTCACACAAAACCTCAACTATCAGGAATCCATACTAGATGGAGACTATATAAATGGAATACATACAACAAGGGCTTTAATCACAATGAAATCCTTAGAACTCATCACATAATACTGGAGAGATTAAAATTACAAACAACACACTGAATGTGGGAAGGTCTTTAACCATAATTCAAAACTCATTAAATGTAGAGAATTCACACTGTAGAGAAGCTTTAGAAATGTTATGAGTTTGATAAGGCCCCGTTGATAAAAAACTGTCCCAGACAGATTACATCCAGGGATTAGGGTTCCAACACTGCATTCCATAACCAGAGAATTGGTAAATAAAGTGCATTCCCACAATGATTTATGGAGTGGCTAGTGTCTAGAAACATGTTTTTAAAACTCAGATTCCCTACCCTTTGATTACATTTTCTAGTGTACTTCTGAGGAACAAGCTTATTCAGAAAGCCACAAGTCAACAGACATTTCAGATCTACTTGGCAGGGTTGTTATATTGCATATACTATATTAATGTGCTGTTGTCTATGTAATTTTGCAGCAGATAGCACTGTCCATTGCGAATGAGGGACAGCACATTGGGTATACCATGAGAGATCATTGAACTTAGAGGGATTGCAACGTCATATCAATAAATCGTGTATTTACCAATTTACGCAGGTTTTATGGACCCCTCTGTTGTGAAGTGGCGCTGTAGACTGCTAACTGAATGGTTGGAGGTTCAAATCCTCAAACACCCTTTACGGGGTCTCTGAGTTGGAACCAGCGTGGCACTAAACAACAACAGCATGCAGTTTTAATAATGGATACATCTGTTGGGACTTTATTAACTAAAACTACCTATAAAAGACTAGAAGTTTCAAAGTAGGGTTTGAGTTAGGGTTTAATGTTTTTATAATATTGTGAATATGAGAATTGTTCTGTTGGCAACTTTGTATGTGTGCATTTTTCCTGTACACATTTATGACTGGGCTTTTTCTTTGCACAATTTTTGTGTGAGCTTTTTTCATGTGTTCATAGAACCACTTCACACCATACCAAAAAACTAATTCAAAATGCATCAAAGACCTAAATGTTAAACCTAAAGCCATAAATTTTTCCTGAAAGAAAATTATGGTAAACTACCAGCTGTTCCATGGGAGAAAGATGAGGCGTTCTGCTCCCGTAAAGATTTACAGCCTTGGAAACTTTTGCAGGGTCACTACGAGTCAGAACCGACTCCATGGAACTTCACAACAACAACAACAACAACAAAAGATTAACAACCACAAATGCACAAATAGAAGACAAATGATTGAGACCTCATAAAAATGAAATGTGTATGTTTAACAAAACAGAAAACACAGTCTTCAGACTGGGAAAACTATTATTGAATAATGGGCCAAGAACATGAATAATCCTTCACAAAACAGGGCATTCAGGGAACCAACACACAAATGGAAAAATGCTCACTCTCACTAGCCATTTAAAAAACTTCTGTTGAATTGATTTGAACTTGTGGAGAGCCTGTGGAAGAACAGAACTGCTTCTTGGGGTTCCAAGGTTAGAAGTCTTGACATAAAACTGACATCTTTTTCACAAAGGAGTGGTGGGACTTGAGCCATTGACTTTCCAGTTAGCAGGCTGAATCCTCAGCCACTAAGCTACTTGGGCTCCACATTAGCCATTAAACCAAACCAAGTGAACGCCTCTGCCATGGAGTCAGTTCTCACTTACAGCATTCCTATAGAGGGCTTCCTAGTCTGTAAATGTCAACAGAGCAGGTAGCAACATGCTCCCATGGTGTGGCTGGTGGGTTTGAACTGCTGACCTTGCAGTTATCTGCTCTGCTTAACTCACAGCACCACCAGGACTCCTTTCATTATCAGTTGTTGGAGCTATTTTCAGTCCCAACTCGTAGGGTTACTGAAGCTGTAAATCTTTACAGGAGCAGCAAGCCTCATCTTGCTCGCACAGTGCAGCTGGTGGGCTGGAACTGCCAACCTTGCGGTTTTCAATCCAGTGCTCATCCTACAGGGCCCCTGCGCTCCTCGTTAGCTGCTGTCGTTAGGTGCCAACAAGTCAATTCCTACTCATCGTGAGTGACCCTACGTAGGATTTCCAAGGAGCAGCTGGGAGATTTGAACCATCGGCCTGTGGTTAGTAGCCACTGCTTACCCTACAGCACCACACCAGGACTGCATTAGCCAATGTTAAGTGCTCTCCAGTCAATTGTGACTCATAGCGACCCTGTGTAGGGTTTCCAAGAAACAGCTGGTGGGTTCAACTGCCGACCTTGTGGTTTGCAGTCTAGTGCTGGTCCTACAGCCCCACTTCAGTGGTCCACTAGCTTTTGTAAAGTGCTGTCATTTGATGAAAATCTAAACTACAATGAGCTACTATCTCACTGTGGCTAAAATGGCTATTTAAAAAAAAAAAAATAGCAAATGTTAATAATGGGAGATTGGGAACCCTGACTGTAAAACAGATATGGTAAGTAGCATGGCATGTCTTCACAAAAACTAGAACTAGAAATGCCTGTACCCAGCAGTCTCACTTCTTGTTAGGTGCCATTGAGTCCATTTTAGTTCACAGCAACCATGCGCACAACAAAACAAACCACTGCCCAGTCCTGCATCGTCCTCAAAATTGTGACGTTTGAGCCTATTGTTAAAGTGCCATAAAGTCAATTCCAACTGGTAGCGACCCTATACAGTGTTTCCGAGGAGCAGTTGGTGGGTTTGAACTGCCGACCTTGTGGTTTGAAGTCCTGTGCTTATCCTACAGTGCCACACAGGAGTGAGGTTTAAGAGCTATGGACCAATGTGCACATGTATGGTTATTACAGCCTTATTCACAATAGGAAAACTATAGAAACAATCCAGATGCCCTCACTGGATGGATACTAAGGAAAATGTGATACACACATACAATAAAATACTACATGAACATAAGGAACAATGATGTATGTAGGCATATATGTGTATGGGTAGCTATAGGTGTGTACATATGTGTGCACAAATACAAGTATCTATACCCACATACAAACCCATTGCTGTCAATTCAGACTCGGAGCAACCATATAGGACAGTGCTGTCGAGTTGCTTCCAACCCATAGCAACCCTGTATAGCGTTTTCAAGGAACAACTGGTGAGCTTGAACCACTGACCTTGCAGTCCAAACCGACTTTGCAGTCCAGCGCGTTAACCCACTTCGAAGGTTATCATCAGAACAAGAGAAATGGTGTTAAGTGGCTGCAGTTCAATGGTATGCTCTGGTCTCGACTTTGCAAGTGGATGCAGATTTCAAAATTCCAACAAAAGATTCTGCAGAGAAAGGAATGTGCGTGTCTCCTTGGATTGCTGGTTTTATAGAGATGGGTGATGTAAACACCCACTATCCTCTCCCACGGCGGTCTCTAGTTTGCTGGGTTTGATAGTTCCCTGCAATGGCCACTCAGAATTTACAGAAAATGCTCGTGACTAAGGGGTTAATTAGGAAAGTAACAGGATCGGGAAAGATTCAGGATACATACAGCACTTTGATGAGAAGAGCCTCTATTTAGCTGTGCCTGCCTGCTAGCCCCTCTCTTCTCAGGCCCTCAACTGCTCAGGCCACTTCCTTGTTATAGACACGTGTTAGAAAGTTCTTTAGATCCATCTGTTAAGAGCCCAGGGGCACCCCACATTAGCCTTGGTCTTTAGGGTACTCTTCTGTCTCGCTTTATTGTCCTAAAATCCACTGTGCTGTTTCCTGCCCATCTGGTTCTCCCCCTTCTACTTGCCATTTCTCTGCCACAACTGCTAGCTGGGCCTGGGAGGTTCAAGGGCTGAATTCCCTTCCCATCTCTTATTCTTGGGGGTATGATGTGATGTTGCCCCTTGATGCCTCTTGTATAGGGTTTCCAAGGAGAGGCTGGTGAGCTTGAACCATTGTCCTGCAAGCACCACACTAGGCTTCCTCTGGGATGATTCAATTTAAGTCGAACATAATGGCAAAGGAGCTCTGATAGCGTAGTGGTTACGAGTCGGGCTGAGAACCTCATGGTTAGGAGTTTGAAACTACCAGTGGTTCTGAAGGAGAAAGAGGAAGTTTTCTGCTCCGGGAAAGATTTATAGCCTCGGAAACACTATACAGGGTCACTATGAGTCAGAACTGACTCCACGGCACACCACCACCACCACCACTGTAACGGCAAAAGTGACAATCCCATCATTAAGTTTCTGTCAAGGACTGA